TGAACTTGTTGCCCGGAACCTTCGCACCCATAATCGAATCAAATCTTCACTTGGGGCGTCTAGTAACCGTCGAATATTGTACCGTGAACAAAATCTTCGACGAGCAATTGCACATGAATCATTGGCTTTGAAATACGCTTCGATTGCGAAAGCACGTTGTTCACCTGTCCACTGCGACATCGCGACTAAATAACCCGCACGGATGACGAAGCCCCGCTCCTCCGCTCAACGGTTACGGAGATATTCGAAATTCAAATCCTAATTCTGCCACCGGACACCCTGTACATATAATAATTACTACTCCTTTTGAAATATAAACATGGTTCATATTGAGACCTTTGAAAATTAGATTCTAGCATAAATTTATTAAATTTTATATTCCAATATTTTGGTGATTTTCTTAAACCATATAGAGATTTATTTAACTTACAGATTGTCCCATCATGTAGTCTCATATATACCTCCTCTTGTATGTCACCATTTAAGAATGCACCTGTGACATCCATCTGATATACTAATTTTTGTTGTAACGCTGCAACTGCCATCATAGACCTGAAAGAAGAAAGTTTAGCAACCGGAGAATATATGTAATCATCACAATTGGTTTGTTCAAAACCTCTGGCAACGAGACGAGCCTTGTATAAGGGTTTTCCATTATTATCTTTTACTTTAAACACCCATTTGCTACTGATGATCTTATTTCCTTCTGGCACATTCTGTACCTCTGTCCATGTATTATTTTGTTTCAAAGTTTCCAATTCAGTTTGGATAGCCTGTTGCCATTTTATTTTATCAGGTTGTTTTAATGCCTCCTCATAGGTGGTTGGCTCATAAGAAAAAAATACTTCCTCATCCGTCTCATATGCAGACTGATATTCATCCATCCAAGCAGGTTTTCTTCTCTGCCTTTTACATTGAATTTCCTCATGAATTTCACTTGGTAATTGGTCCGCTATTTGAAATTCCTCATCTTGACATGAAGAACTGTCTCTTTGTTCTGATTGTTCAAGGAATGAATGAATTGAGTTATCTGATTGTATCTCTTGATTTTCATTTAAATTTTCATACTGAGTTAATTCATTTGATTTCTCATTTTCTTGCTCTAAATACACATTTGGACACTCATAAACTGGACAATGGGAATAACCTTTTAATACTTGATTATTTGGAATGAAGATGACATCCCTTTTAATCTCCACGGTTTGTGTGTTTGAAAAATAAATTCTATAACCTTTTGTCTGTTCTCCGTAGCCAACAAATATTCCAATAATAGACTTCTTATCCCATTTTGAACGTTTTTGTCCCGGGATGTGTACTGATACTTTCTGACCAAATATTTTAAGTTGACTGATGTCAAAAATTTCCTTATTGTACCAAACCTCATATGGTGTTTTATCATTAACTCGACTTGTACTTGTACGGTTTATTATGAATACAGCTGTATTAATGGCTTCTGCCCATAATTCTTTATTTAAACCACTGTCTGCCAGCATGGTTCTGGCCGATTCCACTATGGTTCTAATTTCTCTTTCAGCCCTGCCATTTTGTTCAGGACTGTATGACACACTTGTTTGATGCTGAATACCATGTAAATTTAATAATGTTTGTATACTTTCTGACAAAAATTCTTTTGCATTATCACTTCTTATTATTTTTATAATATGTTTATTTGTTTTTGTTTGATTAATATATTCACTTAAATACCTTACACATTCACTTTTATGTTTCAAAAAATATACCTTTTTCCACTTACTATAGTCATCTTTAAGAAGTAAGAAAAATCTAGCACCCCCTATAGATACATTTTCCATTGGACCAGCAATGTCCATGTGTATAATTTCACCAGGCTTTTCTGCCTTATTTAAACTAATTGGAAAAGGTAGTCGATGTTGTTTTCCTTGTAGACATGGTATACATAATTCATGTTTACCTTGTTCATAGTTAATTTGATGTCTTTTTAGTATGGTCTTGACTTGTTCTATGTTCTGATGGCCCAATCTTGCATGCCATTCATTTAATCCACTTTCTGTATGACCCACAAATGCTCTTTCCATTTGTCTAAATCTCATAATGTACATTTTTCCTACTCTGTGTGCCAATGCACATACTTTATTATTTCTTATGAACTGACACTCTCCTTGTGTTGTTATTGACTTATAGCCTTTGTCAAGATCTGCACTCAATGAGAATAAGTTGACTTTCAAGTCCTGTACATATAAAACATTATTTAAACTTGTTTCGATCCATTGGTAACCATTATATGCTTGTAAATGAACTGTACCATAACCTTGGGCGTGTATTATTGTTCCATCTCCAATAACTATCCTTTTTTGTATTGACAAGCTTTTATATTCAGTAAAATATGTTTTATTTATACACATGTGTTCTGATGCCCCACTATCTAAGTACCATACATCTTGGCTTTCTATTACAGTTGACAATGCAGTTATAAAAAATGCATTTTTATCATTTTTCTTCTGATTGCTTTTGTACCAACAACTTGTTGTCGAATGACCCTGTTTATTACAAATTTTACAATATTTTGTATTGGTATTGTAATTTATATTTTTATTACTTGTCAGTTTTGCATAACATTCCGACTAGTAATGTCCTAATTTATTACATCGAAAACATCTTCTAGTATTTTTACTTTATGTTGGTAAGGCTATGTGTAGTGTTTCATTTTCTTCTTTTTTATGTTCATCATTCCTATTTCCTCTATTAACAATCTTGCTGTTAATGTTGATAATTTCCTCTCGGATACTGGTACGGAGTCCCAAGCTGATATGAAATGCCTGTAACTTTGAGGTAGTGATGATATTATTTTAGTTATTACCATATTTTCTGAAATTTCACCTCCGATTTGCCTGATTTGGTTTACCAAGTCTTCAATTTTAGCCAAGTATGATGACATATCTTCATCGTTATATTTTATGTTATAAAATTTTTGTTGTAATAAATGCAGACTTATGTCTGATCGTTGTTCGTATATTATCGTTAATTTCTCCCATATCTGTTGAGCGCTCTCACAACTTGTTACTTGTAACATAACATAATTTGACAATCTGGTAACTATTATACCTTGCGCCTTAGCATCTAGCATTGACCACTGATGCTTTTGTTCATTTATATCCTGGATTGATTTATCATTGTCCTCGACCGGACACGTGTTTGAACCATCGATGATGTTCCATAGGTTAAGTGATTTTAATAAAACTCTTACTTGGAACTTCCAGAACGACCAATTTGAAGCCCCTTGCAATTGGATGCTGCTAGAATTTGCTTGATATATTGCAGTGGTAAAACAATTCGACTTGACCGCCGACACGCCGATATTGACCGCGTGGTTCAACTTTGTAATGCCTCTTCACCGAGGTTCCCAGAAACGAATTTAATTTGTATTTGTGCTGGGCCCATAACCTGAAGGGTTTTATAAAAGAATATAACAGTCTGGGTTTTAAATAATACGTTATTTAATTTTTTATTATAGCACGACAATATAAGAACATATTTCTACGGCGGCGCAGCAGAGAGAGAGAGACTTATATAGCGCCCTCTCTGTTATACTGTTTTAAGTGTGGCCATTATAAGAAAACTAAATTGACCTAGTGAAATAACTGTTGCCATATAAAATTATATTTAACACCTAGATTTGTTTTGTTCTGTTTACAGGCCTCAGTTAAATAACTTACAAAGCTGTGGTACAATATGAAGGCAAAAGCTCGAGAAGCAAAAACTAGAGAAAATGTTCGCTTCTTGACAGGTGGAGGTCCATCAGTGGAAGACATGGACACAATTGATGCTAAAGTTATAGCAATTGACAAAAATATTTACAAACAAAACAAATATTGAAGTAGACATTGACAGTTATGTAAATGGTAAATATTTTCAGTTTTATAATCCTATATTATTATAGTCCCTTGCAGCTTCAAACAAACCGAACATAAGTGTTACTGAGTAAAATATATATTTTATGTATAAAATAACATAACATCATATCCGTTGATGTGCTAGATCGATGGAAAAACGACATGTTTTGTATAAATAGTTTATTTTATTAATATAATATTATGAATGTACAATGTAGTTTTTTTACAATATATATTTTTTATATAAAAGCGGCGATCGAGTGAGTAGTGATGTGCCAGTGTCATCAACATCCGTATTCCCCGAATAGTTAGGCAGAGGTGTATAGTACACCTCTACCGTTATCACCATAATACAGTATTTATAGTATGTATTTATACAACACAATCATCTGTTTTTGCCCTGCCTAAATAAATATAATAAAGCATTATTTAGTATGTTAATAATTCATTGTTTTACAGATTCAAATATGATAGTTGGGGACGACAATGATGAGGCTTGGAAGGAAAACTGTGAAGTTCTGGATAATGATCTAAATTTAATACCTGAAAATTCTCAGACTAATAATAGTAGTTTTTTGTGAAAGTGCGAAGACTACTTGTAAGATGGACAAAACAGTTGAAAATCCATGACTAAAGATGAGATACACATGAATAATACACTCATCTCTAGTCCCAGTATAATGAAAAGTGCTATAAAAAAAGTTGTTTTGGGGAAAAATATATTAGTAAAATAGATTTATTAAAAATAAAAATTTTAGAAGAGTTGGAGCACAGAAGACTTATCCACAATGAATCCAATCCAAAATATTCCGAAGAATTCAAAATAAAAATTAAAGAAAGAGAAACCTTGGCACTTAGAAATAAAGGAAAATGATAAAAATTTAATAATGGCTAATTCTTTATTTTTATGTTTTTCTTTCGTTTATCTTTAATTAATTTTCATTTGTAAATGGTTATCGCCTGTTATTGCTTAATTAATTAGTAAATAGTTAATAATTATAATTAATATATAATTAATTAGTTATGACTTATACCAAAGATTAGGTAGATAATAAAAAAAATATATTTTAAAATGTGTTTAATTTTAAAGTAAACCTAAAACAAAAAGAAGTTTTTAATTATTACGTACAGTAACAGCTTATAAATTCAGTAAAATCTCTTCAAATTATGTTTGCTCGAAGAACCATTCCATCACTGGTTGCAACTGTTGTTGCTGCAGTAGTTATATTGTGGTCGGCTACATTTAATTCCTCTAAATCTTCTATAAGGTCATATATAGCTTCCAGAGCTATGTTATGTAAAACAGCACATGCAATAATAATATTAGCTGCGGTTCTCAATTTGGTTGCCAAGCCTTTGTGCAAGGCTGGGAATCTCCGTTTTAATACTCCAAACAATCTCTCCACAGAATTCCTCGTCTTTATTTGGGCCTTATTATATCTTTCTTCAGCAGCTGTTGTAGGATTAGACACTGGAGTAAGTAGGTGCCTTGTGCATGAATAACCAGCATCTGCAACTAACATGCCATCAAATTCATTGTTCTGCAGTCTAACATTTAGTCGGGAATTTCTAAAAATCCGACTGTCATGTGTGCTTCCAGCCCATCGCACTACTATGTCCTGTATTTTTAAACATGGATCACCAACAACCTGTACATTTATAGAAAAGTACCCATTTCTGTTCCGATACTGTTCTGTATGCTCAATACCTCTTGGCTTACTTATTTTAACAAGAGTACAGTCCAGTGCCCCTATCATATTCTTGAAGCCACCATATCTGCCTATACGCCCCAGGTATTCAAATTCATCCTTCACTCTCTTGAGGTTCCTTTCAGAATTTGGAAATCCTATAAAATTGTGCATCCGAGAGACTAAGGCCCAACTTACTCTTTTTACAATATGACACACTGTTGATTGGGATATATTAATAAGATCTCCACATACTACTTGGAAACTAGCCTTTGTAAGTGGTAGAGCAAGCTGTATGGTATTCTGGGGTGGGCAATACTCCGCTCAATTTGGCCAAAAGGAAACCGAGCAAATCTCCATCGACATTTCCCTTGCTCATAGTCAGTTTTTGCATCATCAGGGGAATTCATTCCAATCTCAACGCCGTTCACCACCACCTAGAGACGGCGAGGCCGGCTTTGCTCTTCCTTACGGAGACGCAAATATCCTGTCCCGACGAAATTTCGTACCTGACCTACCCTGGATATAAATTGGCACACCATTTTATTCCACGGGCCGGTGTGTGCGCTTATGTCAGAGAGGATATTTGTTGTCGCCGTCTTGGTACACTTGAAGGTACTGACCTGTCCATTTTATGGTTGCGTGTAGATTGCGATGACCACCCTCGCATCTATGCATGCTTGTATAGGTCCCATAGCGGTAACACCGAAACTGACCAACTCATTGAACAGTCCAAATGGCTACAGATTTTTTGCTCCAACAGATTCCCTCCGCTGAGGTCGTGATTCTAGGTGACTTCAACGCCTATCACGCTGAATGGCTCGGTTCACGTACCACCGACTATGCGGGGAGATCTGTTTATGGCTTTGCTTTGGCGTATGGTTTGACGCAACTGGTATCCTCGCCTACGCGAATTCCTGATGTTGTTGACTATATACCTTCACTGTTGGACCTTCTGCTGACTTCTCATCCGGACGGTTATCAGATCTCTGTGGAAGCCCCACTGGGATCCTCTGATCATTGTCTGATACGGAGCGAAGTGCCTCTCACGCGTCCTTCTTTGCCACGATTTTTTGGTCGACGTCGTGTTTGGCATTTTAAGTCGGCACATTGGGATGAGATGCGAAGTTTTTTTGCATCTTACCCATGGGGACGAGTTTGCTTCGCACTGGACGATCCTGATGCAATAGCTGAATCTGTCACCGATGTGGTACTTCAGGGAATGGAGATGTTTATTCCAAATTCCCTGGTTCCTGTCGGTGGTAGATCTAAGTCCTGGTATGGCGGATCCTGTAGATCGGGGTCTCGCCATAAGCAGGAATGCTTCTTTTTTTTTAAACCTTCATAACTATAAAAAAAATGAACATGGATTTTTTTCTGTATTTTCTGATTACCCCCATGACGACGCCTATCGCTGGTTTCCGGCGGCGCTGGTTGACGTTGACTTCTGAGACCCTGTATATATATACAGGGTTAATATTTATTATGGTCGTTAATATTTTACCTTTTACCTTTCGCCTTTGTTGTTGTTAGTTTGGACCCAGTCTTTGCAAGAGATACATTGAATCCAATGACCACCTGATAAATCTTCACTATATGAAATACCGCAAACAATACAAAGACATTCGTCTTCTTCAGAATCACTACTTTCTTTTAATACTTTTTTCTATGCCTTTTATATTTTCTCGTTTTTATTTATTTTTCTATCTCCCATTGCTTTTAGCCTGTCCGTTATCCTTTACTTTATCTTTTTTGTTCTCTTTGTTCTGTTTTTTTTTTCTGCTATTTTCCTCTTTTTCAGTTTTTTAATATCTTCCAGAGCTTTTTTTTTCGGGCGTATCGTCAGATTTTTCGTTCTTTTACGAGTAGATCGTGGTGGAGCTTTTGGTAAAGATCTTACAGTTTCAAGCGAGAAATCACCATATCTCTCTACATACCTGATGGTCCAGCAACCGGCTCATTAGACATGTGTGAAATCACATCAGTTACGATATGTCTAAATTGGGCATATCGTTTAAAATTTCAGGATTTTTTATATTTAATGACAGATCATCATCATTAACCTCATTCTCAACAAGTGACTGATTTTGATTGCTGTGATCTGGACGGTCCGTGACAAATGATGGAGCAAGGTCAGATTCTTGAAAGACATCTTCGTTGCATGGCCAGATGCCAGATTTTATGAAGGCGTTAATTACATAGGGTTTAATGAGAGATCCTTAACAATGGTAGGGAGATCATATATGGACATAGTTTTTCCGGGGTTACTACTCATCCTAGAAGTTTGTGCTTTATTAATATACTTTTTCAGTGGACCATAGACTCCAACATCGAGAGGCTGTAGATTATGAGAGCAATGCGGAGGAAATGACAACAAAACAATATTGTTGTCCTTTGCCTTGTTTACTACTTCCACATTTGCATGTGATGGAAATTGTCGAATGCAAAAAGATGGATTCTTTAAGTACTAGAAATGAAGTATTACGCTGGCATGAAATAGCCGATGAGTTTAATGCCACATCTACAATCCATCATCGAAATTGGGGCGTATTGAAAAATTGTTGGGAAAATTAAAAGTGAGGTGACAGTTCGAAACCAGCACTATTTGGGAACAGGTAGGGGAGGCCAGGGCAAAATTAACAAAAATTGCATTTTTAATTGTACCTCCGAAATTATCCAACGTTTAGACCTGATCTTTACGTCGCATGATGCTTTAACTATTCAGGTATCATATTTTTTTAACATCGAGAGGTAACATATTCGACGTAAACAAAATAAAGTGAAAAGATTAAATTGGGCAAAAAAACATAAAGATTGGACAGTTGAATAATGGCCCACCGAGGTCTGTTCACCGATGAATCGAAGTTTGAAATTTTTAGCCGACAACGGCGACAGTATGTTCGTCGATAGGTCGGCGAGCATATGAATAATCAAACATTTTTTTTTTATTTGTGGAAAGGCAGGACATATGAAGAATGCCTGTTGGTATCGTAATGCAAATCACATGTCTTTGATTTGCATTCGGATTGCATGCATTGCATTCGGTTGCATGTCGGAGGATTCTTAAACTATGGAGTCGTAGTTTCTTAAGTTATCGTAGGACATTTAATAAAAGTGGAAGTCAAAAGAATGATCAATAGTGCATGCAGATTTAAATGGGCCACATACAACAACAGTATAATAATATGTACATGAAATGACTGGGACAGCGGAAAGATTTAATAGGACAATAACAAGAAGCAAAGGTAGAAAAAAGTTATTAGCCAGAAGTAATAAACACTGCTGCTTATTTAAAGAACAGAACATTGGCAAATACAATAGAGAACAACAAATTTAATCATGAATAAGATAAATAATATAATCTTACCCTTTGTCTTTCAATAAACAGATGCGGATATCAACATTTTTCACGTAAATCCAACATACGGCGGTGCTACACATGACAGTTTTATATTTATATATATATTCTATTAAAATAATTTCTATTATTTCTCGAAAAATGTTATTTAGAATTACATTATCACTCTGTATCGGATCGATATAATTCTTATCAACTAATTAATTTAATAGTAACAATTAACTTTTTTCACATTAAAACCATTTACTTTCATGCTTATAGAAGTATGAAAGTAAATGGTTTTAATGTGAAAAAAGTTAATTATTTATATATATTAATAATAATTTGTTACACTATAAAGACTTTATAACAACTAAATTTAATTGTAGACAATTCAATTAAATTTAATCACTTTACTCTTATTTAGCGATTTTTGGCCTACTAGTATATCAATGGCCACTCTATATTCTGCTAGCTAATATGATTAGGGTAGGGTGGTATAAGAGCACGGGCGAAAAAATTGCGCACTCGTCGTAATAGGTCAACGGAGTGAAGTTCGCGCCTAACCTCAGTCGTGTTTTGTTTACCATTGGAACCGGTGGGCTAATTATGTAACACGATATGAAATTGTTTCTGTTGAAGTTGTGATGCAATATAAAAACATTTCAATTAAAAAAATGCGATCAAGTAAGGTCGAATGACTGCAGCATAAATTATTTCTATCGATAAAATACTACTATGAAGTTGCAGCGAATGTTGTTAATCCGACCAATTTAAAAAGTGAGTACAATGCCGTAGATGGACGATTTTTAGTCATTCGAATAACAAACAAAGTGCCTACTTACTTGTAGTTTATTTATTAATTGATATTTAATAAAAAGTGTGATATTACTAAATACAGGTATATTTTATACAAATAATGGCATGGCATTCACTACTTGTCTATTTTCTTTACACTTATTGCATACAAATAATCTACTTTTTTTTGTAATATACGCAGAATTTGTGTATAATATGCCGCCAAACCGCCAAATTTCGGGTCGCCAATATGAGTTGTTGGTACAGTTTGCCGAAACCCATCGCGGTGTCGCGATGGGTAATCTCGGCAAAGGTTTCCTTGGCCAACAAGAAGCCAATAAAGCGTGGGAAGGTTTAGCCGATAAGCTAAACTCTATTGGTGGAGAAGTAATGAAAACTCTAGAGAAATGGAAACGTGTAAGTATATTTCCCTTTTATAGCATGGCTAAGGAGTGTTTTACTATTATACATCAAAAACCTTTTTGTTTGACTCATTAACCTAAAACTGCTTGCATGTTTTTTGTTTTTAAACTAATAAGTACTGGCATCTCATAAAATGCCACACGAAAGCGAAAGCAGCCGATATTCGGAGAAAAAGAATGGCCACAGGTGCCGGACCTAACACCATAAATCCTCTCTCCGATTTGGAGGAGAGAATTGCGGCTGTTATCGGGAAAGTGGCCATAGAAGGCATCGCTGATGTTCAAATACCTGTTGATGTTAGTATTCTTATTTTAACAACTAACAATCATTGTATGATGCTAATTGCAAGGTACAAAAACAATAAGTTATTGTCCCTAATCTATACTCATTATCATGCTACAGTTACTCTACTACTATTACTATTTGCCAAGCAGCATGGTGTTGGCATGGCATTCACTACTTGTACAAAATATGTAAGTACAAAAATGGTATTCCATGCCGTTGTAAAATGAGAATAAGATATGGGTAGGTACTTACTTTAAGTTCGTCGCGTATCATTGTGCTTCTTTTGCGGGTTCGCAAAAACGGCCTCAGTTCCTGGCACAATTCGCAAAACGCGTCTTT